GACCCAAATTTGAAAATTGATCACGAAAATATTAAGGTCATTAAATAAACTTATCACATCCTATTTTGATTAACTTAGATCACAAGACTCTTTTAACTCGTTTTTGTGCATATTTCAAATAGAAATATTGATGTTAATGTTACCTATTATGTTACTCATAATCGAAGAATGGTTGAATGCGATAAGACGAAATCAGTTTCGGTCATCAATTTTTTATTGTTATTACCAAATAACACCCAAAAATTTATTGTCAAAAAAAATAATGTTCTACTACTTCCTGTTTATAATTTCTTATATATATATACTAATTTCTTATATATATATAATATGTTCTACTACTTCTTGTTTATAATTTCTTATATATATATACAGAATAGCTGATTGTGATAAGACGAAATCAGTTGAGGTCTTCAATTTATTATTATTAATAATATTTACTATTATTTTAATTTATTATTATTATTACCAATGGAAATCACCTGGAATATTCTGAATTGAAGCGATGCATAGCAGAAGATTGAACCAAATGATGTAGGGCATCGATATAGTGAAAAAACAAGGCGAAGTATAGAAATTTTGAAATGGCAGAAATGCTCGAATGGAAGCTTTTTATTTCAGATTGGTTGGAATTAAGCGACCAAAGGTTCAACAGTTTTTAATTTATGCCATTCACATTAATTTTTTTGTTCCTGTCTCTTTCATTCGCATTTTCCGATCTCTGAACTGGTAATTGATGAATGTGCTTTTGGACTACTAGAAACAGTGGAAGCTTGAGAGTTTCGATGACACAGAGAATGTGTTGATTTGCGTGAATTGAAACTGGCGTTTTATTGGTATTATATGGTATTATATGCTAGAAGCTAAAGGCATAGTTTCGACGACACAGAGAGTGTAAAGATTTGCATAAATTAAAACTGGCGGATTATTCGCATTAAATGTCATTGGTTAAAGGAATATTAAATCCATACGTGCAGTATTGAATAACTCCATTTGCATTTTGTAGTATTGTTATGTAAATTTCCGGTTTTTCGTTTTTGTGGCATTAGTCAATTGTCAGTGCAAACATTTTGGGACATATTGGGCTATTTTCGAATTGTATTCTTAGGCATTATTATAATCTTTATTATATTGCAAATGATTATATTTATATTTTTTCTATTTTTTTCTAATCTTGCAATTAGGTGACCTGTTGTTCCTCTAGTCAAACCTCTCTTGGTTATGTGTGGCAAGTGTTATCACAAATGACACAATTTGTGATAACAATATATTTTGGAGTTTGCGTACTGAAATACATAAATGAGTAACGATCGAAATTATTAGTGATAGGTGAGCAATAAAATGAATTGACCAGCAGCAAATATTACAATTATACGAGATTAGCAATTCAGAAAGAATAGTAAAACAATTTTTAAAAAGGTATTCATTCCTTGCTATTTTGAGCAGAGAAACAAAAGTTGCAGAATCGGTGATAATCATAACTAATACTTTTTGAGGACAATGTGACAATTCACCACAACAAATATTGACGATTTCATTTTCATGCATGAAATATTTTATCCTTTGTGACGATCCGCCAATGTTCTAGAAGATTATTAACATTTCTCAGTCTAAAGTTAACAATTTGTAAATATGTGAGAAGAGGACAAAAGTAGAAACAATCATATCATTGCTTACAAAGCAAAGTTATGATGCATTTATTAGGTGTGCTTACGAGAATGTATATTTATAATAACACTCGCATTTTGAACAAAAAACGAAAAGATCATAATGGAGGAAAAAATTAGTAACTATAACATGGAAAAAATAATACGCCATTAATAAGAACATGTTATTATACAGCTGAATGCAATGACACATTTTACTGTCATATTTGATTGTAGGATTGGATAAAATTTGTTCACTTCAACTGTAATTCAAGAATGAAGATACTGATTGGGATGTTCGAGAATTGAAGATGAAGTAATCTTCACTGGTTTCTGATTATTTACTGGTTTCTGATTGGGTAGGTGGTGTTATTGTATGAAGCAAAGATTAACCAGGAAGGTGTAAGTTAATATTTAAGGCAAGGATCTCCTTGGATTTGGTATAACTAGCAATAATAATAGTAATGACAATAATAATAATTATTATTATTGAAATAATGATAAATAACAATAAGTAATAACAGATGGTTATAAATAATAATTAATAAAAATAAAACAATTAATAATAATAATAACAGCATTGGCAATGATGAATAGTATAGATAATAATAATGATAAGGTAATGTATCATTAGTTATTGATATCATCAATTATTTCTTTTTCAAATAATCAATTTATGAAAAATGTATTAAAAACATATTAGAATGAATCAAAATATTTGCTCATGATATAAGTTAATAATTCTTAATTTATTTAATTAATATTTATATGGGCAAAACGAACGAATGATATGTGCTCGGAAAATTTTCCAAAATATTTGCTCAACTATTTTGCTATTGTGAAAAAAGGAGAAAAAAGACTGTAGTATTCTAGTTTTTAAAGTTAATTCTGTTGTTTTTTCAAAAATGAAATTAATAGCGTAAAAAAGCAGAATGACACAAAGACATATTTCATTACAGTTTAAGCAAGTGCACTCTTTATTAATTGTATTAGTGATGATTTAGCATCGTTGACAATACTATGGTTTGACAAAAAAAAAAAAAATCAAGCGAAAAAGATCAGTCGTAGATCAAAAACGAATCATAGATCAGGAATGGATCATGAGCTAACAATCATTTTTTTAGTACTTTTAAAATGAAAACTAAAATTTTTTATATGATAGTCTTGCCTTGCTTTGAATTCTATCGATCAAAATTTTCAACCTCCGCAAAGTTGCATGATAATTATTGACAGTCTTTTGCACTTCCTCATTTTAGTAGTATCTAACTTCTTATCAAATGGAAATAACAATGCTTTCAATGCTACACCAACTTAGATTTATTAAGTTAATTCATCCGAAGTAATTAATTCCTGAAAAATTGATTTAGCCAAAATATGTTTGGCTTAATTGACCATATGCGACCATTTATATTCTTATGTGATATCATTAAAGATTCATTATCAAATAATGAATAATTATATATCAGCCTGAATAAATTGAATCAATTCATTCCATTTTAAATCTTCTTTATTTGCTGGCCATGAATATTTTTGGCACCGTCTCGCAGTAATTCGATTTCATCCTTTGCACCGACGTTTACTTTTGGAGCTGTTATCTGTGCAAAAATTCCAATTTTAAAATGAAATATTTAAAAATTGAAACTTCATCGTTTGCGAAAATTTTATCAAAGTTCTTTTAAGGGTTAAAGATAAAATAGCAAAATTTACGATTTACATTTTTATAAAAAAGAAAAAGAATGCTATTTGTTTTTAATCATTGATCGTATTCTAAGACAAAAAATAAAAAAAAAATTCAGATTAGAATAAAAAGAAAACGATTCCTTTTTTCTTTTATTTTCTTAATAGATATTTTACAATCATTTTAATATTAATAGGAAAATGATATGTCTTCAATTCTTACATATTTATGGCATCATATGGAATTACACCATGTTAACTATTCAACAAATTCAAACAAAACTTGTGAGTACTTTAGCCAAATCAACCAAAATTTATTTATAAAAAATAAAAAAAGCCAAACAAATTAGATTCATCAAAACGAATAATTAGAAATCGTCATTTCGACTTTTTGGTTTATAATTGCTTTATAATTTTGATGTATGAAATAATTTATTGAAAGTTTTGTTAGCACTTCGTTGTGTGTTGTTTTTTGCACTTGTTACAGAATGTATGAAATAAGAACATTTTTTTGATAAGTATTTTAAAATTTCAATTAATCCAAACTAGATGAAATAGGATACCGACGATGGTGATGGTGGTGGACATATAGGTGTCGGATTTTGTACTTTCTCTTCTGCAATTATTTTTACATGAGCTTGATAGCTGCTACCGTGCGACAGAATACCTTTCTTCTCCGACATTCTATAAAATTTAATTTTCATATTGCATTTCAATAAATTTTTATATCATTGTTCAATGGTGTAGTATAAATTTTAGCTGTTGTCATTTTTTGCACATATTTTCCATACATTTTATCTTTTCAATTTTGCTTTCCTTCACTTATAATTAATCTTATAATTAATCTAATTATAATTTAAATGGCAATTAAGTCAGGTACAAAATAAATTTAATATTAAGTTTGCTTTAAAAATGTCAACATCAAATATTATTTTCTGATATTTGTCATTTGAATTTCAACTTTTTAACATTTTTAAACTCATTTGATATTTATCGTTATCAATTTGCTTGTTTAATTGAGCATATTTTTGTTTATAATTCGTAACATTTTTAAGTTGAATTGAACTTCTGATATAATCATTGAATAATGGAAGAAGGAAAAAGAAAAAGATCTGTTTATAAAACAGAACTGTTAATGAAACATTTAATAAATCATTTTATTTACTTCATTAATGAATTTGATGAAAGATGATATGAGAATAAAGCCTATCAGTTTGTCACACTTTTATAAAAATGATTTCATTACTTTTTTTTTTAAATTATAAAAATCACTTATGGTTTTTGGCTAAATGCAAAAATGTCTCTGTCATGATGTTAAATGTCATCAAAAATGTTAATTTGATGTGAAATAAGAATCAAATTTTTATTCCCAGTAAAATGACAATTTAAGGAGTATTTATCAATTATTTCATTATATTTGCAAATTTCATTCTTACCAGACGGCAAGTTACATCACTGTATTAGAGTTAATTCATTGATGTATCATCGTAAGGGAAGGGGACGAAATGAATTGGATTCAGTAAGACGGAAGTATGAATTATAATTATCATCCTCATCATTCTATGTTATCAATAATTGTGACTTATACCTATCATTTGCGTACTTATTGCACTATTAACTAACTTATGCTAAATTGCACTGATAACACCCGTATCACATATCGGTTGTGCTAATATGATCAATTTTAAATATGTGATATCAATAAGTGCTTTATCGAATTAACCCTTTTTCAGTGGTTATGAGCCAATAGCACAGTTTGAAAGTTCACATACAGCACCAGATTATGTGGTACGTGAAAGAAGAGATGGACGATTGGTATGACAAATTATTAATTTTCACCAAATTATAAAAACGAAGAAAATATGAAATATAAAACTGGAAAAAAACTTAATTATTCAATTATTAACAAGCAAATTTGCATGTCCAAGAATTTTGTTTAAATTATTTTAATTGTTTCATTTTTACAATTTTCATTTTTTCTTTTCTGCTTCCTTTTGCATGATTTTTCTAATATGCTATTTTTGGTTTACAATATTTAGACTTCAAATTAAATTAATAATAACTCGAATAATGTTAATGAGGAAAAAACAGTATTTAGCATTCATCGGATTGTTATTCATTTTTATTGAAGTTTGATTTCATTTGTTTTTCGTTTACAGTGGAGTGATAGCTATGAACTTGAATGGCCAACACGGCCACAATTTGGTCGATATGCGAGTGAAAGCAAAGTATTTTAGTATTTAATTAATATTTGAAGAAAGTAATCGATTGAAATATATACCTTTTTATAATACAAATAAATATTTTATTCCTCAGAGTATCCAGTAACTAAACTTCTTTTTTTTGAGAATTATTCAACCCGTTTGAGTATTTTATTGAAATAACTTTAATAGTTGAAGTTAAAGATTTATAGTTAAAGATATTCAAAAAATTTGCAAAAAAAGAAAATGAAAATTTTTGCAGGAAAATATGTTGTCATCGTACAGCAAACAATCTGGTAAACGTTATCATCGACAATCTCGATCAAAAGATAAAATATATATGTATGTCAATTAATTAGATTAATTAAGAATGAAAGATAATGAGTGATATTATTATAAAGTGACGGAAAGTATTTAGAAATGATATCTTATTTGTTATAATAAGTAAACATTAATAAGTACTATATATTAGTAATTTCCATATATTAAACGTTTTTAATAAAATTTTAAATGGAACAGCAAAGAAAAGAAAAATGGCGAAAAGACAAAGAAAGCAAAATCGATAAACATTTAATTGAAATATTATTTATGATTACTGATAAACGATAACAATTACTGATTTGTATAGTTGAATTAATATTTTGATTACTGATCCTTCACATTCTACAATTACTGTAGCTTTTTTAAGAGATAAAATATATCACCGAGAAAAAAGGGATCATGGGAGAAATGCTCGTCATGATTATTCGATTGAAAAGGTTAATTAAAACTTCTTTCTCTTTTTCGGAAATTAAAATTTGAAATAATAAAATACTAGGTGTTATCGATAGTATCAACATTGTATCATTCGAAGTATAAAACACTTGTGTATTCCTTATTCCTTGTGATAGTTGCATGCTTAGTATTCCGAAAAATAAAAAATGAAAAGAAATCATTATCTTATCAATTAACCTGATAAATGAATACTTTAATTAGATTTCTCAATCATTTGGATTTATTATATAAATTTAGGCAATATTAGTTTAATTTTTATTTTCTAAAAATTTTTGTAAGCACACATAAATATACTTGAATTGTATATCTGTCTTTTCCTGATTTGATTTATTTTCGTATCAGGAAATAATTAATAAAACAATAAAATAATGAGGACGACAATTATTTATTTGTTGGTGAGTGAAATTTTTTAATTAATAATTTTGAATAATATT